GATTTGTCACATTTCTATGTCCTTAGCCTCCTGGTTGACTTGCCTGCTGGAGGACATTGTGCGAGCTAGTACGTGGACCTCCTCCAATACTTTTATTTCGCATTATTTGCATGAGCTGTAGCTATCTTAACCACTTCTGCTAGATTATACAGAGGGGATGAGTATTTTCATTGCTTTGCTTGTCTCTACTTTACCTTTCAGGGTCCCTTACCTTGTTTTCACAGGATCCCACTCTGTGGAAAGTGTTATGCAGGCAGGTGTACTTTTATCAAACCAATTCCTCACCAGCAACCACTAATTCAATATACTTTATCTAGGTTGCAACAGACTCTATAGAAAAGAGGTGTTCAATAAGACCACCTAAGGGCTGAGAGAATGGTATTACTGTACTTTGCTGGACCTCCACTTTTGGACTATCATGAGTAAAGCATAAGGGGATCCTGCTCATTCCTGCTGATCTTTGGATTAAATACATTGGGGTCAGTTTTCTTTTAAAAATTTATGAAACCTGGTTCTCCTACTGCACTGTTTCCAGAACACTGTTCCTCAGGACTCCCCAATGAGCATTACCCCCAAGATTCTATTTGTGGAACTACAGAGTTCTTACCACACCTGGTTTCCAGTCACTGGGGGTGGTGGACAGAGGCTTTTTCTCCATAGCGTTAGAGTGAATTTCTTCCACTCTTGGAGAAGAGGAAAGCATTGGGGCCCTCCTACCTGGGTTCTTGGATGTTTTTTCCCAGATATCAGTAGGAGAGGCGTCAGTCTACATGGAAGCCTACTTGTAATACTGGTTCAGATGAGACTCTCGGCTATCTGGTCGGGTAGAGCATTGTACTTGTTTGATCAATATTGGTTCAGTACATTGTTCATGAAACAGGGTCCATTGTCTCCTCGTAGTTCAGAATGCAGAGTGGTTCCATCCTGGGTCCTTGGTTTAGCACAGTTTGTTCTATGTCCTCCCCATAATTCCAGGGGCAAGTAGAATTTATCTTGCCCACAAGGTTGGAAAGTGAGGATGAGTGTTCATAATTCCAGACCAGATGAGCTCTGTTTCCTTAGGTTGAGTAAGGCATACAAGATCCTATCATTTGGAGCCTGAGGTGTTGACTTTCGGACTTCTTCAGGTTTAGGAAAAGGTTTGTCATTATTTGTCTCGTCATTATTCCGGTTGCTCAGAGTGCAGCATCCTATGGCTACAGGTTGGGATCCACTCATAAGTATATATATATGTATATACATTGTGGTTCAATTGCTCTAGCCATCAACATGAGATATAAGGATCGTGGCCCTATAATTCTAATCCAGGGCAGTGAAACCTTGGCTACCTGGTTGGTGCCTGGCCAGTAGTGATAATAAATCATGTAAAATTCCATCCACAGTATATGAATTAAGTTCCGGGTGAAGAGAATACCTGTTCTGGATGTAGTGTGGTTCCCCCACTAGGGTGCCAAACTTCTATTAACACACCCATGATCTATGCAAATGATTTTTGTATGGATAATGACCTCACCAGCCCCTCCACCTTCTCAACGTGGGATTCTCGCTGTAGTGTGAGAGAAGGGGTAAGTATGTTTTGGAAGTTAACATTTTCTTAAAGTAAAAATATATTTTCACTAATTCTTATCTCCTTTCACACTCTCCCACCCTTCCTCCCCACTAAGAGCTGGTGTTAGTGAACACTTTGTCTAGAAAAAGTGGTAACATTATCTTAGTGAGGTGCTTATATACAGTACCAGAATAGAGGGTGCATCGACGTAGGTGGAGAGTGTCACAAGACTAATAACACCAAGGGCATTTAAGTGGGGTATAAAATACTGGAGCAAGTGAGAAAAAATCAGATCAATGCTTAGATGGGCAAAGTAAGAAACCCTGGCAGTTGAGTAATAGCTGTAGTGTGAGGGAGGTAAGTATTATTGGAAATACATTTTAAATTTAAGAAAATGTTAACGTTAGTTTGCTTGGCACGGTGTGAATTTGGCTAAGGTAATACAGCATGTGTGTCTTGTTAGAAGCAACTGTAAGCTGCACTGGTAATATGCAATGCATAACCAGTCCAATTTACCCAAATCCATTATGTGTTATTGTCTTCAAAGAAACACTGTAATCTACAGAATCTGGTGAGATTCAATATTTCATCAGTTAAGGTAACCAAAACTTAGTATGTGTGGTCTGATTGGAAGAAACCCTGTAAGCTACACAGGTAAGATTTAGTGCTTCACCAGCTTTTGACATTCAAAAGTGTAACTTCAAAAATTACATTTGTTTGGTACTTTGCGCTGACATAGGTTAAAAAAATTGTGAGAGTGAAGATATGATTAGTCTAACATTTCATTAATGGTTTAATAGTAACTGAATACTCTGTATTCACCTTGTGCTTAACTGAAGTGAGAATTCACAAATATTGATATCTCAATTGTCATAAAAATTGTTTCAAGCAGTTGAGTATATATATATAAACGTATCAAGATATCATAGGTTAATGAAAGATTTTTGTAGGAAATGCTGTGAAAGTTGAATATACCAAACTTATCCAAATAAGCGACATTGATAGAAAAAAAACTACAGTTCCTTTCCTACATGCCTGGAATAAATATCATTTGTCTTTAGAATTGTGAGAAGTTAAGAAGTAAACAAAAAATATTAAGCCTTAAAAGTTTACTCTATGGGGATTTGTTCTATGATTAAGATACCCAGATCCATATGATTATTTATTAATCAAGTCTTTACAAAGTATTTTGAGTTGAAATTAAATTTAAGTGTCTTTAATAATAATAATAGAAACTGCAATCACATCAGAATCATAGTATTTTTTTTGCTCAAAAGTTTCATTTAGTTCCACACACTTTTAATCTCTTTTTTTTTTATTCTAATTGCAGGAAGCTTTTATGTTTTTATTTCTTTTTAATATATTTTTCTTCAATCTGTTGCTTGGTTAATACATTTATCACTTTTTCTTCAATGCATTGGTAAGCATTTTTTACAAATTATATGCTTTTCATTGGCTTAAGGATTACAGATTTCTGGAGTATGTGCATTATAATAGTATAATATTTTGTAAATTTCTGTATTATGCAAGAAGATTATGAATTAACATATTAAATTATACAAAATATTTGTTTGCAGTTTTAAATAAACACTTTGATACCTACCAGTGCTTGTATAATGTATAATTGATTTGTTTCCTTTTCAAAGATGTTTTTGACAATTATATATTTCTTATTGTTCATCATTACACTCAGTAACATTGGAGAAATAGTTATTTTTTAAGACATGTTTCTTATGTTTATACAGCAATTTAATTTATAAAAAAAGTATAAGTTAAATATCTTGAAAGGAAAAAAAAACAATCTAAAACTTCAGTAAAATAAAAGGTAAATCTTGCTGGTTACATCTGCCACCAAAGGTGGACGGCTGTTATGTTTTCAACCCTGTATGTGTGTGTTTGTTTGTTAGCATTATTTCGTGAAAACGGATGAATGGATTTGTACGAAAGTTGTATACATTTGAACTAGGACCCAGCTTAGAAGTGATTAGTTTTTGGAGTGTCAAGGTCATGAAAATCCAAACAATCCATATTTGTTAAAATGACCAATTTTTCACACAATGTTTGCTCTATAACTCAGTCAAAAATGATTGAGTTTTGATGAAACTTTGTGGAGTATGTAGAATGTTATTATTCCTCATTGTTCTGCCAAAAATGGTCCATGTCCATTGGTAATGACACACATATACAGACACATTTTTATATTTATTAAGAGCCAAGTATGATCAGTGCTGCGTGGCAGAGATATGCACTCTGCTGAGTGATCCTCTAGTTTATAACTGGCTTCAGAGTTGCAATTTCAAAACTCATATGAATTTCTAACTGTTGCTTGTCTTCAACTGCTCTTGTTGTCAGTTGTTAAAATAGGATTACATTTAGTTAGAATAACCAATAAATCTTCAAAATATTTTCAAAATAAGTTTTATTAGAATTTCATCCATTATAAAAGTGTGTAGCCATCTATTGATAGAACCTACATATTCTTCCATTCAATAAAAACACTTGAACTAACAAGTGGTCATGTGCTATTGGATTTATTGATATGTTTGTCAAAGAAATTTACTATCTGCTTAACATATTTGGAGTGTGGTTTTGTATAAGATAAAACAATCAAAATTACTGTTTTCTTACCATACTGATAGTATTTGTCCTGCATAAGATAAAACTCTTTCAACAGGTTTTCTTGAAAATAGTACACTTCAGTATTTCAAGAAAACGTCAATAGAACCACATTTATATTAATTAAACTTTTAAACAGAATTTAATTTTAATTAATTTTTCACATGTAGCTACTTACAATCCTACATGTATGATGTATTGACAGATATCTAGTTGGCTTTGTTCCTAGAGCATTCAAATTTATCAGAATGCAAACAAAACCCAAATGATATCAGTTTTATGGTATAATCTTGTTCATTATATAAATTCCATAAAAATTCTATAGTTTAGTGGATTCTCATTTTTTTCAGAGCTGAGACTTCATTATTCTTAATCACATGGATAATTTTAACATAAGATTTAATTTAAAAGGAGAAATAGGCACTTGTGAAAATTTTGGTACATAGGACATTTGTGTATATAGGTACACACAAGTTCTTGAAAATAATTTGAAACAAATATTTTAAACAGGTGCAAATCAATCAATTTCATGTATACAAGTTTTGGAAATAATTAAGATGCTACATAAAATATTTTGAGAAGAATATTTTAGATTTCATGTACAAAATATTTAATCTTACCTCCAAAACTAAGCCCTCTGTGTAAAATAGTTTAAGTAGAAATCATTTTGTGTTGGTAATAAATATATACATTTTTTTTACTCTGTTCATGTTAATATTATATCTTTAGTTAGATAGGTAAGACAAGAATGCTACTAATGTTAGATTGAAGACTTAAGGTTAGTTACTTCTATTCCCTGAACTTTTGCTTAATGTCTTTATCTTTTAAATTCAAGACACCAGAAGAACGGTACAGTCATTGCTCGATCCAGTCAGCCATCTGTAGGATGGTTAGGATGGCGTAGTCAACAGGATGAACATCTTTTACAGGCCATAATAGATGCTTTTGTTATTGACTCAAAAAGAAATCCCACTCTTGTTCAAAATAGCCCAGTAGTTACTTGTCAACATGGTACTATGTCTGAAACAACAACTGGTAAATCTTATTACTTTTTTATTTTGTTAATTCTTATTAGTTAATTTAGATGTATATCTTAAAATTAATGTTAACATAGCATTGCACGATATTATTAGAATACAGTTAAAACAGAGACATATTTCTTTACAAATGACTTTAAAATGCAGAATTTCGTTGATAATACTTGAAATCATGAATGCTTGAGATATGAAATCTTTGTTTTTAAGAAAGTGAAGAAACTACAAGGACTTTAATATCTACCTTTTATGTCAATTATAATAACATTCTTAATTCAGAAACTATTCTGTAATTTTCTATTTAAATGAATAAGAATTAAAAATCTTGCACACAAAAAACAAAATATTAGTTTGTTTTTGAAGAAAGCAACCTTGAATAAAATTGGGGAAATGCAATATTTAACTGTTTACAATAATTATGAATTATAGTATTTAACCCTTTTTAGTCCATAATAATTACTTCTAAGTTTACACATATGCATTTATTATTTTGTAACCATTGTATATTTGTGTGTAAATATCTGAAACAAACAAACAAACTTTTTTGGAACATTTTTATGTTACCATGAATGATATAAAAATATGTACTTTTCACATAATTATTTCAGTTTTGTTTTGTTGCTTTTATTTGGCTATACATTATGTAGAACATTAATATGCATTTTTGGTAAGTATGATTCTGTAGCTAGACTTAAGTGTTTCACATATTTATCAATTCAGACCTTCCAATTTTACAAGAATAAATATTTATATGTTTTCTCAATGATATTTAATTAAAGCTTAGGATTTCAGGTAACATAAATGTGGAATCCAATGGTAGCCCACTTTTGCTTAAACTAATATATATTTTCTAACCTAATCATGATAACTTTGTTTTTCTTAGTTTAGAAATTAACTTGGACTTACTTGGAATTTTTTCTCCATTTGTAATTGAAAATTTAGATACCGTATTTTTCTCCAGATTAGGCTTTCACATTACTTTGGTAGCAAGCAGAGCCTTATTATCAGTTCTTTGTTAATGTCTGCACTGATTGACTATGAATCTTCCTTTATTTAGATTCCTAATATTAACTTAATTATCTTTAGTAGTCTTTTGTGTCTAACTTTCTTTAAGTTTGGATTCAGGAGGGTTTTTTCTTTTCTTTCTTTCTTGACAAAGAAGCAATTGAATTTGTTGCATATTTAACTGACCTGTTATTTTTCTTACTTATCTAATTGTAACTGCTAAACAGAAAAAGTTGATAGTATGTTATTGCTAATTCTCAAAGAGTAATTCACCCCCACACATAGATTTGCATGGCAATAGTCTTAAGACAACTCCCACCTAATTTGATGTGATTTTATGTCTGGTTGATGATGTCATTATGTGACAACAACTCTCCACCAATAGGAGGACAACACATCTCCATGTGCACCAAAAACTCCCCGTTGGAACTGTGGATTTCCATTCCTTTTCCTCAGCATTTTAGAACACAGTTGTTTTTGAATTTCACATCTGTGTTCAATTTATTGAGACTTGCTTTGTTAATGAAATTCTGATTTTAATTTTCTTTAGCTTTTGTGTAAAAGGCTTTCAAAATTTTTTCATAAATTCTTAATTGACAATGATTTATTCTTTGTCCTGAGTGTGTAGACATTGTTCAAAATTACACCTTATTTCTTCTGTGGTCTTTGGAGACTCATTGACTGTCAGGGTCATTGCAGCCATTGTTCAGTGTGTTTTGGATTGCCACATGCTTAATGGGCCTCCTACTTTTGTCTCAGTCAGGAATGATCTATTAGACTACAAACTTCACTTGATTTGCTATAGGTATTATTTTACCATTTGTGAAACAATCTTAACCTTTCAATCTCTTTCTGGGTTTCCTTGTCAGGTACATTCCTTTCCTTCTCTTTTGCGTGTGTTCTTTATTATTTTTCATTTTCTCACTTTCTGACCCACAATCCTTAGGTTTATCTTGTCTTTTCTCCTTGCTATTTGTTAGATTTTATACTGTTTCCTTTATCTTCTAGCTCTAGTCTCACACCTAAATACATTGCCCCTCTCACATTTGTGACTCCTTTTGTCCTGATTTGCAGACTTTCTTTCTTTCCTTTACCCAATTCCCTGTCATTGATATCTATCTGACCAGCTGAGAGATCAAGCCATTTTCCTTCTGTTTCACTTTTTAATTCACCTTTTTCATATTTTACATCTTTTTCTCTCCACCCTTCTTTATTCCCTCTCCTACATCCACATTTTATCTGAGGCACTTCATAATGCTTCCAATGGCTTCTGTAGACAACTGTCCCCTTCTCTGTTTGACCTCTTCCACTACTTCTGCTATATTCATCTGTACTTTGTTCCCTTGCTGTTGGAATGTGTTGGGTTAAATTCCTCTTTAATCTATCTTTTCCTTCTTCTTCTTCTTGTATACTTATTATTCATCTGGCTCTTTTTGTTACCCAAATGTCTTCACTGATGCTCCTTTCCCCCTGCTGACCTGGTCAAGTGTTTATGACTTTTGTCCCCATTACGTTACCAGGTTATTTTCTTCTTTCTCAACCTTGCCCTTTACTCCTATTCCTTTGTCTAGATCAGTTTCCTTCTTACCTTTCCATTCTAGTTTCCAGGCCTTTCCCTTTTTATTCCCCATCTTCCCTCCTACCAGAATTATCATTCATCACTGTTCTTGCCAGTAACTATAACACACATTTCTGTGGGTACCTTTTTCTTTTCCTGCTGTTGGTCTCAATTTCTGCTCATGGTCATTTTCCATTTTCTCCACTTTAGTCTCTTCCCTCACTCCTCTACCCTTTGCTTTCCTTCCATTTCTTTTTCTCTTCCCTCTGACCCCCATGGTCAATGTTCTGTTTGAGTCAGTATCAGTCCCTCTTGTATCTGTTGGTATCATTAGGGCCTTCAATTGCCATATTTATAACCTGGAGCTGGTGTTTCTTTTCTTTGAATATTCAAATCTGTTAGCCTATTTTCTCAAATGTTTCCTCTTCTGTTACCTCTCTTCTTTTATGGTGGTTACTTGGTTGGGGAGGGGGAACTAATCTTGGGATCTAAGTCCTTTCTCACACCAACTCAGTGTTTGATACTTTTGATTGTTTTCTTATCTTGTCTCAACTGACTTCAGCCTGTGAGTTATGGCATATCTGGTCACCAAGTTTTACATTTCTCATTTCTTCCCGTATGAGAGGTTTTTTCACTTTTGTGGACTTTGACTTCCCTAGAACCCCTCGTTCATTTGTGGCATTCTCTCATGCATCTCCTACAGTGGATCATGTGGATCCAAGGTTTATTTCTTGGGATCATTTATCATCTTTTGTGAGTCTCTCCTGAGGAATTTTTACAGTGACTAGACTCTGCCCATACTACTTCCTGTATTCCCTTACTGCGTCTCAAACCAGATCTCTCTGTCCTTAATTTTTCTCTCCCTGATTGAGGTACATTTTTTGATAATGACAGGACTTCTGGACAAGAGCTTCAGTCTTGGTGGCCAGTCTGTATTCTATTAGTGAAATAGCATCTACACACAAGACCTTCCATGGAGTTTACCCTTGTTTGGACATATTCATATTGGATGATTTTGCCACCCTTTTTTCTCTCTTATAGTCATCTATTTCTCATTCTTAAGCTCTATCTGTCAATTTCTCAGCAGGCCTGGGTTTACTTCTTTTTCTATACCTACTCCCCTATTCATTTTCTTCTTCTGAGCCTCAGATTTATATATATTACTTTCCTTTTTGGGCCATATTGTTAGTACCTCTTTGACTGCTTTAACCTTGGTCTGCTTGGTATTTGGACCTCCCCTTTCTCTTTCTGTTATCCCCTCAGTCTCACACTTACCTTCTTCATAGAGGAATATTTCCCCTCCACCCTCATGCATGGAATTGCCAGATGTGTTGCCTAATGGATTGAACTCTTTACTTATGCTGTTATTCTTGTCACATTTTACCACAATATTTTTCTATCACCATATTTGGTGAGTCTTTTGTCATTGTTCCTTCCACCACCCCCTTTCCTCCTGCCAGTAATTCTGTGCACCATATTTCTGCTTTTCTTACCCAACTGTTCATTAATGGATTCTGAGTCTCAGCCTTTTTTAGTTGTTGGGTGGCTCTGTCCATGGCCTTTCTCCTTTCATGATACCAGAAGGTGTTTCTTCCCATATACTTTTTGTTCTATTCCATTTATTTGTTCTTATCATGAGGTTTTGCACAATCTTGTACATGCCCTATTTGAGCCATTGACTACCTGGCTTTTGTACCATCTTTTTCCCCTGACTATTTTCCTCCTACAATTACCATTGTTCTTTTAGATGCTTCTCACACCCTTTTCCATGGCACTTATCTTTATTATTTTTCAAGACTAATTGTTTCTTTCTTAGACTTCAACCTCTTCTCTCTATCACCTGTTGGACCATTCACACCATTCTTGACTCCTGTATTCTGCTTGGATGTTTGGTGTGCCTTATTAGAGATCTATATCTTGCCTTTTTTCATTTCTGTTCTCAAACCAGTCTCTTTCCATGGACCTTCTTCCTTCTTCCCTTAAGGGATGGGCCCTTTAACTTCTCCATTATGATCTTTGTCTTGGGATATTGAGCTCACAAACTATTTCCTTTTTCTTTGCAGTTGATTTGTCACTTTTTTGTTCTCTTACATCTCTTCGTTAACAGTCCTTGGATGAATTCCTCCAGGTGGGCATGCAGACTCTCTTCACACATTCATCTCCTTCTTTACATCTTCTGGCTGTTTTATCTCCTGATGGTTTTTGGCTTCTGTAGGTTGCCATTCTTCAGTTACCTTACTATCATTAAGAATACTCTTATTTCTCTTTCAGAGCCCTTTTTTTTAATACCAAGGATCCCATTAGGTGGCTAATGCTACCTCCCAGGGTATACCTACTCTAAATCCATATCAAGCCAGGATAATGAAAAGTGGTCTTACCATCAACCCTGACTCTATATGTACCCACTGTAAAATGGGGTGTTCCACAAGACTACGTAACATATTATTTTTGTGTATATTTATCTATATTCAACTTATTGTCAGATCTAGACTGTACCTATTCTAGGGACTATCATGGAAAAAACCAGCACTAGAGAGGTGTTTCTGCCCACTTCTCTGGCTTATGCTTGCTGGTTTTTAGATGTAGTTTTACTGTTATCCATTGCACTGTCTCCAGTAAAAGACCTTTCTGGACTGAAGGAGTTATGGGGGTTCTGGGCATCTTCTCTGGGTCTCCCCATTA